ACTTCCTAGTTCAAACCGGCTTCAGTCGTTTGCAGCTCCAGTCGAGTGCAGTCAAGTTCAGTTCTGGGAGCAGAACCGAACGGAAGAAGTGCTGGGGAGAACAGAAGTCCAGACATGATCCAGAGCTCTTCCGAGTCTTGTGGGAATTATGCAATCTTCCACATCTGAGTGGAACTCTGACGGACTTACTCCTGTTGTGAGTCCACCGGGAGGTGAACTTGTGTCGAACAAGTACCGTCACTACTTCGGACGATTCACAGCTGTTCCTACGGAGACGCTGAAAGGGTGCGTTGAATGGAACTTCGTACCAGTGGAGACATCTCCTCCAGGTAAAGAGTTGATTTACACCACCTAAGTGTACCGAGGAAGAAGCTGGGATCTCAACGGAGCGTGCCGTTGCTGATACTGACAAATTTCCCTCATCCATCTTTTCCTCTCCCCCTAAACTTCATCTTTCCATCTTTAAACTCTTCTATCTGCTAGAAATCATTCCAGATATTTTTAGAAATGTCTGTTGTACAGCTGGAAGCAAGGGAAACCATCGCCGTATGGTTTTCTAATTGTAAACTGATTAATTAACCTGTTGTTATTTTCATATTTTGCCAAATTAATGTAAATGTTTGATGTTAAATTTTGATTCTGTTAATAAATGACCACGTTCATTTTGATGGGTCAAAGAAAATTAACGTCTCACGTTACATCTTATTAAATTCAATGCACGATAATATTCAGTCCAGAAAAATGAATGAATCCGTTTAATTTATGAATATATCACAGTATATGTTCATCTACAATGACCAGGGCCATGTAGTGAGAGATTTTGGGGAACAACCTCCTTCCCTCAATTAGAACATTGAAGATGAGTCATGGCTGGGTCTTCCAACATGACAATGACCTGAAGCACACAGCCAGGAGAACCAAGGAGTGGCTCTGTAAGAAGCATATCAAGGTTCTGGAGTGGCCTAGCCAGTCTCCAGACCTAAACCCTATAGAAAATCTTTGGAGGGAGCTCAAACTCTGTTTCTCAGTGACAGCCCAGAAACCTGGCTGATCTAGAGATCTGTGGAGGAATGGGCCAAAATCTGTGCTGCAATAAACCTGGTGAAAAACTACAGGAAACCTTTGACCTCTGTAACTGCAAACAAAGGCTAGTGTACCAAATACTAACATTGATTTTCACAGGTGTTCAAATACTTATTTTCAGCAGTAACACACAAATAAATTATTAAAAAATAATACATTGTGATTTCCGGATTTTTTTTTTTAGATTATGCCTCTCACAGTGGACATGCACTCGAGATGAAAGATTCAGACCCCTCCATGATTTCAAAGTGGGAGAACGTGCAAAGTCGCAGGGTGTTCAAATACTTATTTTCCTCACTGTATATTGTTTATATGGATATCGGAATTTTATCGTATCGACTGAAATGAAGAAATATATTGTGGTACAAGTTTTGGCCATATCGTCCAGCCCTACTACAGTATGTAGGTCACATATGTTTGTTTGGCTGTCTTGTTAGCAAAATATATTATGAATTGATGGCTAAATTTGATAGAAACTATGAAAATAAATGTTGAATGTATATCTAAACCATTTAACTTTTAGTGTCTACCCAAATCAAGATGGCCACCACAGTTAATCAATAGACAGAACATTAACTAAACACTAAGTTTTTCATATATTGAGCTAAAATCTGGCATGGTAATTAGTCGAGCATCTTCTACTTCTATTGGAACAGCATGCAGTGATGGGCGTGGTTTTGATAACAATCTAATAGCGAAACAAACATTCTGTTGAATGGACTAGGGTTTTTGCTAACTTGGAAAACTTTTAGCGGAATTATCTTCCACTAAGTTTAAATCTGGTAAATTTGAGTCAGCTACGTTTTTATTTTCTTTTACATAGTTCTCTGCACTAAAGGCATACAGAAGAACACTGATTTACATGAAGCGATGCTATGCTATGTAGAGCTAAGCAAAGCTATGGGGCCGTTTACACGGCGTGTATTTTGAGTGCATGCGCTCCTTTCTCTCTGCGGTTCTGCTGATCATTTACACGACACCAGTGGCCCCCCTCTTTGAATCCGGAGGTTTCTGAACCCACCTTCCAGAGTGGAGGTTTTTTGCTGACCCCCCGCTGATAATGTAAACATCTCCCGCTAACGCTTTGTGTTAAACCACATGCGCACACGCACGCACGGACCAACGCTATATTTAAATCAACATGGTGGCGGATAGTGCTTTCAGAACTACGACTGATGGAATATATTTTAATCTCGTAGTTAATCTACGTCAGATTCTAGGTGCTGTGACCGACATCTGTGTTGGAAGAGACACAATCTGATCCAGTTCTAATATCACTGTTTATAGAACGTGGCACGCGCACACGTCGAGCTGCACTATAACATACTAAATCATGTGCTAAATAATAAGAGTTTAATAATAATAAACAGTATTTATGTTAGAGCTAAATGAAGCTATCTGGACATTATGTAATTCAAATTTAAAATGATGCTAAACATATAGCGTGAACACTAAAGTTGAAAATAAAGACATCAGGTTTAATTTTTATTTATTTATTCAACACCACAAACTTTATGTCACACAAACACTGATAATTAAACTGAACACATTATTAAAACAAGTTAACTGAACTTGAATGGATTGAATAAAAGAAATGAGTGGAATTTTAAATAAATAGTTCATCCAACATCTCACTCTCTTCGACATCTTCCTGCACTGCATCTGGGCCGAGCCTCGTTCAGAACCGGTCCGCCTGGTGGGAGACAGCTTCTTCTTCTTCTTCTTTCAGGAAAAAATAAAAAACTCGGTTGGTTGTTTTGTAACCGAAGTAAACACAAACTAACATTATTAAGAACATTTGATTTACCTGCTGTAAAACAGCTACTGATTATCACGGAGTAAAGTCTGACATCGTCGACTCGGTTCTGGTCCACTCAGTGACCGGTGTGGAGCTGTTAGATGAAGCGGTCCCGCTTGGTGTCAAATCTGTCGACTCTTATCCACAATCCAGCTTTAACTTGTTGTTTTGTTACGTTGTTGTTAGCTGGTTAGCTCAGAGGAAATCAACATGCCGAGGCAGCACGCATGCGCATTAGGTGAAGGTACAAAATTCAAAGCGCCATCTTATGACCTGGCATGGTAACTACAGCGGATTCGGGAGGGCGGGGGGTTATCCTCCGGATGCATGTAAACACAAATTGTGACCGTGTCAATGCAAATCTTTTCCTCTAATTAACATACGAAAAAACCTATGTTTCCCCCCATCGCGTCCATGTAAATAGGGCCTAAGAACCGCCCGGTGATATCACCACCCTTGCAGTGCTCCCCCCCCATATCTACCACAAACAGTCTCTGACTCATGGTGTCAGTTTACAGCCAACAACAGAGACTGTAAGGCCCTATTTACATGGACACAGTGGGGGGAAACGTAGTCTTTTTCATGTTAATTAGAGGAAAAGATCCGTGTTGACACAAACAGATTTTGTGTTTACATGCATCCGGAGGAATCCACCCCAGCCCCCCGGGAATCTGCTGTAGTTACCATGCCAGGTCATTAGTTGGCGCTGTGAATTTTGTACCTTCACCTAATGTGCATGCGTGCTGCCTCGGCACGCTCCCTGTAAGGATTTTCGTCTGGGCTAAAAGCTCAGCTAACATAATTTAACAACAAGTTAAAGATGGATTTTGGATAAGAGTCGACAGATTTGAGCCAAGCGAGACCGCTTCATCTAACAGCTCCACACCGGTCGCTGAGTGGACCAGAACAGAGTTGATGATGATGATGTCGGACTTTACTCCGTGATAATCAGTAGCTGATTTACAGCAGGTAAATCAACGTTCTTAATAATGTTAGTTTGTGTTTACTTGGATCACACAACAAGCAACTGAGTTTTTATTTTTCTGGCGAGGGGAAGCTGTCTCCCACCAGGCGGACCGGTTCTGAACGAGGCTCGGCCCAGGTGCAGTGCAGGAGGATGTCGAAGAGAGAGAGTTTGGATGAACTATTTATTTAAAATTCCCCTCAGTTGTTTTATTCAATTCAGTCAATATTTTAAGCTACATTAATCAAAGGAGTGACAGCCTGAATGAGCCAGATGAACATATGGGACCAGTATCCAGGATGAAAACAGAGCAGAGTCCAGTTCATCAATGTAGTTTAAAGTTCGTTTAACCTGTTTTTAATAGCATGCTCAGTTTAATTATCAGTGTTTGTGTGACATACAGTTTGTGGTGTGAATAAATAAATAAAAATTAAACCTGATGTCATTTTCAACTTTAATAACACGCAACAAGTTTCACATTGTTTAAATCATAACTCGAATTTCATAATGTCCAGATAACTTAATTTAGTTCAGATAACTTCATTATATATCTATTATTATTAAACTTATTATTTAGCACATTTAAGTATGTTATAGTGCAGCGCGACGTGTGAAATATCCGCCTGCCTCATTCTATAACCAGCGACAATTAGAACTGGATCAGACTGTGTCTCTTCCAACACAGATGTTGGTCACAGCACCTGGAATCTGATGTCCATTAACTACGAGATTAAAAATATATTCCATCCGTTGTAGTCTCTGCTTCAGCCCAACAGAATTCTGACCTGCCTTGTTGGTTCCGATGGACCGGATTAATTTCTGAAAGCTCAACTCTGAATGAGACATGGACACTTCATAAATCACAAGTTGTGAGTTACGAACCATATTGACTTGTGTTGATTGACATCATCACATTAGTCTTACAGAGTCAGCAATGGCAGAGTATGATAAAATTAGCGCTTTAGCGTTAGCTTTCGCTAATTTTTTAATCTGTTTAGAATTAGTTAAGCTAACTTTTTTGTTAGCGAACTAGCGAAGCTAAATTTTTGGTTAGATGTGCCCACCAATGCTAGTGATTCTACTGAGTTTTGAAATGTAACTACTGTTAAACAAACTAAAGAACAACAAACAACCCCCCCCCCCCCCCCAGCATACCTCTCGTGAATCCAACGCTGAAAACTGCTCTTCATATGCCTCTCTGATGGAACTTCGATCATGGTGATAAGCCACTATCACATTAAAAGACAATGACAATGTTATTTGGCTTATAAGTGTTCAGAATGTAAAGCTAATGTTTCAGCGTGTATAGTAAAAACAATGATATATTTGAAAAGAAACCGGAGTTTGTAAATATTCTTGGTGGAATAAATGATAGGATTTTCTATTAGCCAAAATATTGACCGACATATTTTTAATTATACATTTAGTTCTACAGGTGCCGTCTTTACACCCTGTTCAACAGCTAAATGTTTATTTCCTCAGACACATGTACAGGCAGGAAGAAAACTGGACACTCAGGATAACACATTAAAGAAGGTTCTTGATTTAATCTGCAGACTTAAAACTTGTCCAGATGACATGATTTAACCTTTTTGTATCTGCCTGTGACACTTTCACTCTTTCTCACGGCTCCCTTGCAGAAGGAAAACACAGGAATAAAACAGGAAAGGAAACGATAAGATAGGAGCTCCCTCAGCCGTCTTATTACTGTGACCACAAGCAGCTGTAGAACGCCATGAAAGGAAGACGAGACGGTTCTGTTCTCATCATCCAGCTGCTGATGTTTTCAGGCAATGAGTGTCCAGGAGGTGTCTGATCTAGACGTTGTTCTCCGCTTGAGCTGGATTTCTGACTTTTAGCCATTATCAAATGCTTTTCTGAATTTATTTAGCAAAAGTTGAACAAATTTACAGATTTATGTCACAACACTGGTACAAGTAAACTAATGGGAAGTTGACAAAAAATAAGAGCTAAAAATTGCTGACTTAAGACTTCTTATTCTTATTTTTTCATTTTTTCATTTAGCCTTTATTTATACAGGTTAGTCTCATTGAGCCACGAGAACTCATTTTCAAGAGAGACCTGTTTAGGGAGCACATGGTGGGGGTTAAGGGCCTTGCTCATGGGCCCAGAGTGGGGCGAATGAGGGTGGGGGCAAGTGTGGGTGTTTCACCTACCCCACCCACAATTTTTTTGATGTTGTCGGGGCCGGGGCGTGAACCGGCGATCTTCGGATCACAAGCCCACCTCTCTAACCTCTGCGCCACCACTCCACTTATGAACATGAATTTGAGACTGCTATTAAAGTGCATCCCAAACAAGAACAACAATATTTCTGTTTTCCCTTCTCATCCATACGAGCCCCTCTTGTAAGAGAAAGTTGTTACATCTTACATGTTAGTCGGATGTAAAACACATGGAAGACTTGTGTAAATAATTATTCACATTAACAACATGTTTTTCAATCTGTGCAGTAGTGTAAAATACTATGCAATTGTTTAAAGACTTTAATTAATAATAAAATAAGAAAAGTTTTGGTTTTTTATTTGTTGGGGTCCCATTTAAAATTCAATGCCAGTGGCAGAACAGAATGAGTTAATCTTCCCGTCTGGCCAGTGAGGTACTGGTTCTGAAGCATCCCATAGTCCGATTTGAAATAAAGTCAAAGAAACAAGTGGGGGGCAAGCAGCTGAGTGAACACACAGCAAACATGGTTGAGTCTAGAAGCTTAAAGTGAAAAAATAAAATCAAAACATTTGTTACGGGAGGCACAAGCATTCTTCAAGGCTGAGAACCAAACTGGTAAAAGTTACATTTACATTAAATCAGAGCGAAGATCACCAGTTCCTGCTACTTGAAGTCAAACCGTTTTCACTGCATCCTAATATCTAAAAATGAGTTTTCAATTTCAGGTCTGATTAGGAATAACAAATGCAAGAGAACCAATCAGAGACCAGTTATATCTCAACACTAGTCCCAGTTTTATAGCAGAGTATACCGTACATGTACTAAACTGGCCTTCTTGAAGTCCAGAGCAAACATCAAAATATCAATAAAAAAGTGGGCCATGAATGTTGGAGAAGCTAAAGTTCTATAGGGGCTGCACGGTGGAGCAGTTGGCAGAGTTGCTGCCTCTCGGTGAGAAGGTCGCCGGATCAAACCACGGCCCGGGACCTTTCTGGGTGCAGGTTGCATGTTCTCTCCGTGCATGCGTGGGTTTTCTCCAGGTACTCCAGTTTTCTCCCGCAGACCAGAAACATGTTAGACTGATGGTGCGTCTAAATTGTCCCTAGGTGTGAGTGAGAGAGTGAATGTTTGTCTCATTTGTTTCTGAGTCCCTGTGATGGACTGGAGACTTGTCCCACCACTCCTCTCACACAGTGATGACTGGACATGGGCACCAGTGACCCCCGCGACTCAAAAAAAGGAAGAAGCGGGTAAAGATGATGGATGGATGGAAGTTCTACACTAAAAGTTCATGGACAAACTGTGACAGGGACTGACATGTGGCAGCCATTTTAAAAGTTTGATCTGACGTTGTGTTGGGGTTCACTCTCAGCTAGCACCGCCCAAATTACCAAATTTCAGTTCAACACACAAAAAAAATCAATGAGTTATAGTATTTTCTTTTAAGCTACGGTGGCCATCTTGGGTTTTAGGTTTAGATTCAGCATGTGAATCCAAACGTTCTCACTCAGCTATAAATTTCAGCTCTATGTGAAAATCAGCTAAAGAGTTAAAGCCATTTAAATTTAGCTTTGGTGGCCATCTTGAATGTTTTATTTGAATTCAAGATTAACTGGGCATTGCTCTCAGCTACCACACCAAATTTCAGATCAATATCTTTTAAAGTAGCCAAGTTACTTGTTTGCAAATTATGTTGCCACGGTAACTCGAAATGCCAATAAAAGTGATAGCACACACCACGGCGCCGAGGCAGTCGTTCTGATTTAACATTTGTGGAGGTACAGTAGAGCTGTCATTTCTAACCCAAGCCCCAAGCCCGGCCTCACCCGACTCAAATTCGGGGTGGGCCGGGTCGGGCTTTTAATTGGGTCAGAATTAGCTGCGATCCAATTATATAACATGGCCTGCCATGCAATTACCAGCCGCACACATCCATTTCACCATGAGCTGACCGGGCTTGAAAGAGGTAACAAGTTCAGTTAAGCTTCAGATGGACTGTACTGCCAGGAAGTGATCCATCGCCCAGATGGACGTTCATTCAGCCGCTGCACTCAGCGGACGCAGGCGGCCGACGACCCAAACAGGTGAGATCCCAAAGCAGATGTGTCAGAGCAGGGTCCGTGTCTGAATAAATCAGAATGCAGCAGAAGCAGGGTTTAAATCTTCTTTTACGGCCATGAAAGGACAAACACCCCCTCAGCTCTGATCTTCTGCCCCTTAATTCAACTGCGCATCCCCAATCGTTAATACCTAATTAAAAATGTTGGGGTTTTTTCCAGGTTCGGACCTTTAATTTCTGTTAATTCGTCGGGTCTGGAAATGATGACTGCGGGCTGGGGCCAAGTCGGATTGGATTTGTTGGGCCAGAATGCAACTCTTAGGGACACATTGTGGTTAGGGCTGCATTAAGCTGATAGAAGAGTAAAACCCTTTTCAGGTGGATAATAACAGGTGGCTGCCTTTCTACACAATCCCCAATAAACAGGAAGTGGAAACATTTCATTTTAAATGTCTTCCATCGTTAAATAATAAAGATCAGTGACACTGGCCCTGATTTTACAGAGATGAAGAGATGAGTTCAGACATTATATATATATATATAAATGAAAAAGTAAAAAAACTGTAAAACTCCTCTTTTTTCTCACTTACTGTAGAAGGAATGTTTTGGTTTCCAGTTTAAAACACTTCAGACTAGTCTCACGTACCTGTAAAACAAATAGTTGTAACAAAACAGGAAGTCAGATTCTGCAACATCCCCCCAGCCCCTAACACACACACTTCAACATATCAAAATTATTTTTCTTATCAGTACCAGAAAGTGATATATCACAGTCTTGTTTTGGGCTCGGTCTAAATACAAGAACTTGTTGGTTTCATTAGTGAGCTCTACAACTTTTACACAAATCGCGTCTTTTCTCGACTTTTTTGCAGAGATAAAAGCTGCACAGTCAGAACTACCAACATCAATTTGCAGCCACTGCTGTCTGGTGTGAATGATCGTGGTGCACTCACTGCAGGGTGCTGCCTGTCTGACAAAGGTTTGTTACCTGAAATTAGCAAAGCTTGCTAGGTCACAACCAAGCATGAGGAACAGGATGCCAAACTCACCAGCTACTTAATTCAAAGGTCCTCCACAAAACGAGAGCGTAACATTGTCTTATTATCTGATTAAACGTTTATATAACATCAGAACTGCATTTCAACCACGTTTCATTCCGTGAACAGAAAATTGGAGTCCTGCGGCGCTAAAACAACAAACGCTGGTGTTTTGCCTCCTCGCGCTCTTCTTCGGCAAGAACGTAGTTTGAAAAAGCAACGTGGCTCCGCCCCCTAGTGGTCACTGCAGGGAGTGCATCACTCAATCAGGTTTCTACAAAACACACATACAAAAAAGTGCATAGAATTAGTCCAAAGACTAATTAATTAATCAGCAAAAATTGTGAACTTCGACACAATATGTTTTGAATAACACAAAAATTGTGAATTAATATAATATATTTTAAAAAAATGTACAAAATGTAGTTATCCAGCTCAACCAAATTGGGTAATGGGTAAAATAGAGGTTTCCGCAATAATTTAAAAATGACTGATGGTCTAGGCAGTTTTATTTTCAATGGCAAACTAATTCAAAGCAGTCCATGCAAACTCTATTTTACAGACCATTTACTATTAGTTAACTTAGCATTTCAGAGAGGGTCCGTGTTCAAATAAGATTGTTTCAGTAAACAAAGACCTATGGGAGTTCCCCAGCATTTCACTTTGCTGTGCACAGTTCAAAAGAAAATTTGCCAGTTATGTGACAAAATGGGTAAAATAATGTGCATTACGCCAAAATTCATAAATATTAAGATGTTTTCTTCCACTTGTATGGTATATCTGACACAGGCAGTTTAAACCAGATGAATCCAATAATTTACTTTGATTGTCTTGTTGTTAGATTTAGCGTCTCTGTGAAATAAAAACCTGGATGACGCCTAATTTCATGCAGAGGTTGTGTTTTTGGACCTGAACTTTGCAGCCTTTCACTTCTCCTGGATGGCATTAGTTTGACCACCACCTCCAATAAAAAATCCTTGGTATTATTTTTAATCATATCTCATTTAGGCCCCACAATAAAAACGTTACCAGAACTACTTTCTTCTACCTTAACAATATCTAAAATGAGAAACACCTTGTCCCAAACTGATTCAGAAAACATGTTCATGCATTTATCCTTTCTAGATTGGACTGTTGTAATTCTTTATTATTTGGGTGACCAAAAAACTTTACAAAACACTTCAGCTGATCCAAAATACTGCTACAGTTCTGATCATATTTCTTTGATTTTACCTGCTCTCCATTGGCTCCTCTCAAAATCAGATTCAAATTTTAAATCTTTCTGCTAACATAGAAAGGTCCTAACAACTAAGAGCCATCTTATATTAAATATGTTATTTTGTCCATTGTTTCCTAACTGAGCACTTCACTCTCAGACTGCAGGTTTACTTGTGGTTCATAGAGTTTCTAAAAATATAATGGGAAGCAGAGCTTATCAGGTGATTCTCTTGTGGACCCAACTTCCAGTTTCTGTCTGATACTATGAGACTCTGTCTACTTTTAAGATTAAGCTTAAACCTTTCGTTTTGATAATTCCTATAGTTAAAGTCAGCTTTGGTTTCCTGAGCTATCCATTAGTTATGCTGTTATAGACTCTGACAAACTGTGACAAAGTGGAGATTTAATGCAACCATATGACTTACTTGGAAAACTTTAACTAATAAGCAGAATGTATGTGAATGTTTTTCTACAGTGCACTATCACATTTGATGTGACGGTGCTATATACAGTAAATAAACTGCAGCTGTGGCTGAGTGGTTAGAGCAGTCGTCCTCCATTGGGAGAGTTGGGGGTTCGAATCCACCAGCAGTCACATGCCAAAGTATCACTGGGCTAGACACTGAACCAGTGGTGTAGTTTATGTGATATGTGACATACGGAGTATACCCACTAGAAAAGCTTGGGAATTTCAGTATACCCACTTAAAAGTGTCCAATGATACATGACATATTATTGAGCATGTTATTGTCAACACATTTGGAACATTTTATAGACACATTGAGTTGGTTCAACCTGTTTTTTGCATAATGAATACTTCTGTACTTACTACTTATGGACACATACACATTATACATTATGTACTACTTACATAATGTTCAATATGCTTAAAAATCTAAATAAATTGACGATTACATTCTAAATGGTGTGCTTGGGTTTCTAAGCACAGTATACCCAGTACAAACATGTAGACTACACCACTGCACTGAACCCCTCATAGCCTCTGATGTGTGTCCCATCAGTGTATGAATGTGATAAAGCTCTGATTAGTCTTTGTAGAGATCTAGTAGAGTGCTGTATGAATGGGTAAATGAGGCACAGATTGTGTTGTAAAGTGCTTTGAGAATCTGGATAAAACAGGTGCTATATAAGTACAGACCATTTACCATGTCTATGTATTTAAAGGTGGCAGCAGTCCATATTCTTCAGATTGAGGCCACAGGTATATTTGTTTGATCCTACAGAACTACACTTTTAAAGAGATAAATTATTACTTTACATTTCTGCTTGGATCTATTTCCCTCTCAGTGGCTTTTAAGCCTGAAATAAGTAATCTAGTTTGGCTTTTTATATAAACTAGTCATCTTTTTTTAAGATTATGCTTCTTTGTGTTGTTGTTGTTTTTTTTATTTAATTATTGTTGACTTAATCAATGTTAAGTTTAATTGTAATACAATGTATGCACTTTGGTCAACTGTCTTTTCAAAGGTAAAACAGAAACAAACTTTGACTTATGCCATGAGCAAAAAATGAAAAATGAAACCAGTACAGTACAGTATATGTAATTTAAGTGTACAGTAATTCTCCTTTTTCATGTTTAGGATGTGATGCTCTTATAAAATCATCACCAGTAATGTTTATTTTTATTAAAATCAGTTACTCATCCATTGTAGTTTTTACTTCCTCGTTCAAAGCCTCTCATCAGTGTTTGTAGCTGTAGATGATCTCACAGGTGATTGGTGAAACGTGCGTCACGTGACCGTCCGTCGGCCGGAGTTTCCAGGACAGCTGAGGAGCTGTTAATGTGAGCGGCGCGTTCCTGTTCATCTCACCTGTAACACTGAGCCGTTTCAACCCGCTGAGAGCAGGGTTCGTGTCATGGGCGACAAGAAGAGCCCTACAAGGTAAACCTGTCGCTGCTATGTTCGAGCGAACACTGTGGCGAACAGAATGATGAAGCCGTGAAGTGTTCATGGCGGCAGGTTGGTGGTGCAACACGCCGGCGTGTAGTGGCGCTGACTGGTTCAGTGTGTGAGTGATGTGTCCAGACCACTCGGGTCGTGTTTAAAAACCCTCTCGGTTCGTGTTTTGTTTGCCCGAAGGCCAAAGAGGCAGTCCAAGCCGTTCTCCGATGATGGGTTCTGGGACTGCAGCGTGTGCACCTTCAGGAACAGCGCTGAGGCGTTCAAGTGCATGATGTGTGACGTCAGGAAGGGGACGTCAACTCGGTGAGTGAATCATGAAGTTCTTCACTTTTCTCCATCTCCACCATAACATCTGTCTGTCAACACTGGGTGGAAACCACACGAAGCTGGTCTTGATTAGAAATGCTGAATTAGACTTTTTGATAAAGTTTAGGTGACAGTTCATCAAGTTGTTGGCTTCATCACATTAACAACTCGTTACTGTAACAGTTCATGCTCAAAAATCCCACTTACAAATCCAACCATGTTCAGTCAGGTCCAGGTCATCTGGATGGTTTATTTTTTTCTGCTGAGACGTTTCTTCCTTCATCCAAAGGACTTCTTCAGTCTGAGAAACCACAAACAAACTGGAGTCCCACAAATGCCACACTCCCATAGTGGGGGGAAAAAATGGCATGACTGCCTCAGAGGAATGACTTGGGGGAGAGGGCAGACTCCAAAAACCATCTTATCGCCAGCAAACTGTTGTTTTTTCCACTATGGGAGGGTAGTATTTGTGGGACTCCAATTTGTGGCTTCTCAGACTGAAGAAGTCCTTCGGATGAAGGACGAAACATCTCAGCAAAAAATAAAAAAGAAAGAAACCATCTAGATAATATGACTGAACATGGTTGGAGCTCATTACCGTCTTACTGTTCGTGTTGAAGTAAAAAAAACAAGGCCCAGGGCCAGAAGCGGCCATTTATGACCAATTCCTAATGGTCCTGTTGATCCCAAATGGAAAACAAAGCAACCAGTGCAAGCAGCATTTCAGTTGAATTGACTGAAAGCAAAGCTTGTTTTAAAGGGTTAGTGTTCTTTGAATGGATGCATATCGCTTGCACAGAGCTTTTCAAGCTAGAGTGTAAAATAGAGCTGTCATTTCTAACACAAACCTAGAGCCAGGCACAGCCCGACCCAGATTCTGGGCCAGGCCAGGACATACTAATGTGATTAATGTGCGGGCCGGTCTCAGGCTTCGAATTTTTTATGAATCATATAGCACAAATTAAACTAAATAAGAATGCACAATATAAAATTGTGTTAATCTACTTCTAGAGGAGGAGGCAGATCCAACCTTAAAGAGGTAAGAAAAAAGTTGCTCTAAGCTCAGATGGACAACGTGTCACTGGCCACACACGTCGGCTGACTCGCCGGTTGAAATGGATTTGCGACCTGTCCAGGGTGTACCACCGCTTGCACAGTGATTGCTGGACATGGACACCAGCGACCTTCGCTACCCGAAAAGGAAGAAGCAGGTAAAGATAATGGATGGATGGATGGATCAGCTGATCACCGGCTGTGCGCGTCTCCACACCTGCTGTCATATGCAGTGATGGAAGTAGCAGCATCTCCAAAAGAATAAAAGCGAGCAGCATGTTCAATTAAAATAGCTTTGTTTTATATTTTTCCAAATAATTTTACACTAAAATATGTTTCTTCATCTGTAAAACAGTCTATCTTTAGAGTTGATTTTTTTTTAGGCTATTCGTTTTGTATGCATCCATTTGGTGAAACAAGAAATCTTATATCTTACTTTCTTTGAAATATGTTTTAAACATATTTTGTCAGACTGATTTGCTTACAAAAGCAGTAAACGCTAAATAAAAACAATGTTGTGGTTTTTTTTTGGTTCGGTCCTGTAATTACAGTTAAATGGATTGGGTTGGGTGCGATCAGAGTTTTTTAGGCCCGAATGCATCTCTAGTGTAAAACTAAGATTGCCTTACGATGCAAAGGGTTGTTGTTATAGCTCTCTGGGTCAAACTTTGTAAATGAAGTTAGGATTATCTCATGGGCTAGATCCATTAGCACCAAGAGTTTGTGTTATTGAATCTCAGCTACTCCCACATCAAACTTTAGCTCAACGCCTGTAAATGTAACTGAGCTTAAGCTATTTTTTTGTGTTGGCTAAGGTCTTTTAGCTGTGGGCCCATTCACAAGATGACTCAAGCAGGGATTTGGACCTCCTCTGGCTGCCTCAGCAGTGTCTGAGCAATGTTGAAGTATCCTACTAGCAGCTTAATGTATTTTGAAGGAAGTTATTGTACACACTGAACTTGCAACCTGAAGTGGATCAGAACGATCTCCCTTAGCAGCACATTATATACACAGTAACACGTTTTGCCTTTAAATAACCTAAGAAAACACTTGAATAAAGCTCCTCCTGCAGAACAGCGCCTCCACTGGTGTGGAGTGCTGCAGAACGAGCCACCACTGAACAGTCTACGTCACAGCTTTGTGGAGAAACATTCAGAATCCAAGAAATGAAAACATTACAAGTACAGAACTTCCAGTGCTTGCCCTGGTTTGGTTCTGACCTGGTTCTGCCTTCCTGAGCAGAAAAGATTTGTTTTGTAGAAACTTACCAAGGAGCCCTCCTTCCTCTTTGTATTATTGGAACCGAGGTAAACATTTCTCAAGGACTGCTGCAATGGTTTATTATCTGGGTGTCCAAATACTTATTTAAAATGTCTTCAGTTGATCCAAAATGCTGCTGCCAGAGTCTTAAATGGAGTTGGTGGGAGTCCATTTAGTTTCTCTCCATTGGCTCCCTGTCAAGTCCAGAATTGAATTCAAAATCTTACTTCTAACCTACAAAGCTCTCAACAACCTAGCTCCATCTTATATTACAGATCTTATTGTTCCATATTTTCCTAACAGAGCACTTTGCTCTCAGACTGCAGGTTTACTTGAGGTTCCTAGAATTTACAAAAGCAGAATGGGAGGAAGATCTTTCAGTTATCAGGCTCCTCTCTTGTGGAACCAACTTCCAGTTTCTGTCCGTGAGGCTGACACATTATCCAGTTGTAAGACTGGGCTTAAGACTTTCCTTTTTGATAAATCCTATAGTTAGGGTTGGCTTGTTATGCTGCCATAGGCTTAGACTACTAGAGGACAAATTTACCTCATTGCATTAAATGAATTGTTAAAACTGAATAGTTTTCATTTGATATTGTTTCAATCTTTACATGTGATTCTGGACCTGCCATTGTGTATCTGTTCCTACCAAATCCAGCTGGTCAAAGCAGATGTCCACTTGTCCTGAACCTGGTTCTGCTAAAGGTTTCTTCCTCATGAGGGTGTTTTTCCTTTCCACTGTCGCCTTCATGCTCGCTCAAGATGAGAGTTCTGTGATAGAGTTAAATTCAAAGCAGTCTGCTCCTCAGATAAATAATGTTAAATTATTACCTGTATTTTTATATACGAATGTTTCTGTTCAGTGCCTTGAGATGACTTCTCTTGTGACTTGCTGCTATATAAATAAATTGAATGGAGTGTGTGGTGGGGTGGAGGCTGGAAGGGGGAGGGGGAGCACATCTGGCCATCTTTGATGAAGTCATTATAATTAGGTATCATTCAGATTACAACGACAGTAAAGTCTACAATAGTTTATAAATGTGATTGGTTGATTGATATAATAGAGCGTGGTGCATGGATATATACAGACTTTCTAAAAAATTAGAATATCATGGAAAAGTTGTTTAACTTCCATAATTCAATTCAAAAAGTTAATCTTTAATAGATGATAGATTCAGGGCTCACAATTTAAACAATTCCAAGTATTTATTTGTTTATTTTTACATAATTTGGGCTTCCAGCTCATGAAACCCACAAAAACAGGATTTCAAAAAATTAGAACACTGTGGAGACATCAGCCCACACCTCTCAGTTTATGCAGAAAAAAGAAAGAAATTAGGATCACAACAAATAAATCAAAATATGATACTTTCAAAACGATATGTCAATCTTCAATACTTGGTTGGGAATCCCTTTGCCTTTATCTCTGCCTCGATGTGATGTGTCATTGAGACAACCAGCCTGTGGCATTGACTGGGAGTTATGGAAGCCCAGATTTCCTTGATGCTGTCAGCTCTTCTTTGTTGTTGGTCTGGTGCTCCTCATTTTCCTCTTGAGAATACCTCATAGATTCTCAGTGGGGTTTAGGTCCGGTGAGTGTGCTGGCCAGTCGAGCACTGTGGCATGGGCATCAAACCAGGTTTTGGTGCTTCTGGCGGCATGGGCAGGGGCCAGGTCCTGCTGGAAGATGAAATCTGCATCTCCATACAGATCCTCAGCAGAAAGAATCATGAAGTCCTCTAAAACATTCTGGTAGACTGTTGTGGTGACCTTGGATTTAAGAAAGCAGAATTTACCAACACCTGCACCGGACATTGCACCCCAAATCATGACTGACTGTGAATATTTCACACTGGACCTCAAGCAGTATGGATTCTGTTCCTCACTCTTCTTCCTCCAAACCCTTGGACCTTGATTTCTAAATGAAAGGCACACTTTACTTTCATCGGAAAAGAGACCCAGAGGACCGAGGAACCCGACAGTTGTAGCCCATCTCCCGGTTATGTCTGAATGTGGTGGTTTTGGAAGCTGTGACTCCCGCCTCATTCCACTATTTCTGGATCTCTGACAGATTATGGAATCTTCTCTGTTTGATAATCCACTGAAGCCCAAGGTCATTTCTTTTGCTGGTGCATCTTCTCCTGACACATTTTGCACTTCCACTAGACTTTCCATTGATATGCTTGGACACAGCACTCTGTGAACAGCCAGCCTCCTTAGCTATGAACTTTTGTGTCTTACCCATCCTATGGAGGGTATCAATGATGGTCTTCTGGCCAGTTGTTATGTCTGCAGTCTTCCCCATATTGAACCAAACTGAGACAATTGAACAAAACTGAAGCAATTTAATGACACCTGTGGAAACCTGTGCAGGTGTTTTGAGTTTAATAGATGATTAGTGAGTCACACTCAGTTTAAACATTCATGTCCTGCAACATCTGGGCTGATTTCTCCACAGTATTCTAAGTTTTTGAAATCCTGTTTTCTTGGGTTTCATGAGCTGGAAGCCCAAATTATGTAAAAATAAACAAATAAATACTTGAAATCGTTTAAATTGTGGGCCCTGAATCTATCATTTATTAAAGATTAACTTTTTTAATGGAATTATGGAAGTTAAACAACATTTTTCCATGATATTCAAATTTTTTGGAAAGGGTCTGTATATGCACTCCCTCAACACTGGCCAGAGAGGAATGTCAGGAAATAGACAAAATATTAGTTAAAAAACAATAAATATGTTACATATGTTAGAACTATTAGTTACTTTTATCAATTTTATTCTTTCATATCATAGTTTCAACCCTTGTCCTTTATTCAGGCTTGGGACCGGCAAAGGTGAAAGAAAAGACATACTCAAATGATTCAAGTGCAGTGATTTATTTTAAGCATTTATTTATTTATTTTACATTTACATCCAGCCATGGATCTGTCAAAAACAACTTTGCCTAAGCACGATTAATGTATAAAGGTAAATGTATAAAATATATAAGTCTGGATGTGATGACTAATGTGAGGAAGTGATGCAATATGATCTCTGTGATCATCGTGTCTTAGAGTTAAACAGCAGCAAATAGTTTCGAAAAGGTTGGAACTCTACACATAGTCGCTAAATGCTTCGAAAAACTGGTCATGACCCACATCAAAACAAATAAACATGAACGAGGACCCTCATCAATATGCATACCGCGAAAACCGATCAACAGAGGATGTCATCTCCTCTGTGGTCCACACTGCTCTCAACCACCTGGAGTAGAAAGACTCTTACGTCCTTATGCTCTTTGTGGACTTCACATCTGCCTTCAACACCATGATCCCCCAAACCCTGATGGACAAACTATTCACACTAGGACTAAGCCCCTCCATTTGCAACTGGGTACTAGACTTCTTAACAAACAGACCACAGTCAGTGAGGATCCACAACTTCTCCTCCTCCACCATAACCCTCAGCACTGGCTCTCCTCAGGGATGTGTGTTGAGCCCCGTCCTGTTTACTCTGCTCACGTATGATTGTGCAGCTATCCATCCAGGCTGTCACATTGTAAAGTTTGCAGATGATACAGCGGTGGTGGGATGCATCACAAACAATGATGAGTCCAGCTACAGGCAGGAGGTGGAACACCTGGAGAGCTGGTGCAAAGAGAATAACCTTCACATCAATGTGAAGAAGACATAAGAGATGATCGTGGACTTCAGAAGGAACAAACACACCTACACCCCCCTGAAAATAAGAGAATTTGCAGTGGAAGTGGTCTCCAGCTACAAGTACTTGGGTGTACACATGAATGACAACCTCAGCTGGAGCAACAAAACCACCTGCCTGATCAAGAAAGCTCATCAGAGACTCTACTTCCTCAGACGGCTGAGACGAGCTGGTCTGGTAAGCTCAATCCTCACCTCCTTCTACAGGTGTGCAGTGGAGAGCATCCTGTGCTCCAGCATCAACGTGTGGCATGGAGGCTGCACAGCTGCAGAATGAAAAGCTTTGCAGAGAGTGGTGAAGGCTGCACAGAAGACTGTCAGAATCAGCCTCCCCACCATCACAGACATCTACACCTCTAGATGCAGGAAGAGGACCACCTGCATCATGAAGGACCCCACTCACCCAGCACACACACTTTTTGCCCCACTCCCCTCAGGAAGGAGGTTGAGGAGCATTAATTGTAGAACCACTAGACTGAGGAACACTCATGAATCTCTAACCAGAATAATCACTGTGAAAAATCACATCATGTTGCTGCTGATCTGTTTCATGTTGCTGCTGATCTGTTTCATGTTGGTGTGTTCATGCGTGCTCATCTGCTCACACAGACTCATGTTCGTGCTGCTGTTCGACCTAATGTTTTTACGCTATTAGTGCTTAGTGTATTTTTATTTGATGTTTTTCTTTGTTCATATCTTGGATGTTATCATTGTTTTTCTTTAACATTTTTATTGTTGGATGTAACTGGGACCCTGTGTACATAATTTTGCTTCATCACATGTACCACATGTGGCGTGAACGACAATACAGAATCTCTGACTCTGACATTCCCTAAACATGTATGAAGTGAGAAAACACCTCCTGGATGGAAGCAAAATGTCTTACAGCATAGAAGTCATGTTGTTTTGTTTCTAGCCTTCTTTGGATTTATTTAAAGTTTTGAAGTTGTAACTTTTTAAAACTCTATTCTCACTTTCACTACACGTTTATAAATAATTAGATTTACTCGAGACATTACACGAATATGCACCTTTTTATCTGGAGGGTAAACATTTTTATTGGCATCCTTGTCATGAGGCATTACGTATTCATATGACTCTAACTGTGGTTTATGTAGTCCATGGTTTAAAGATAGTTGGTCGAAATGTTCCTTTTGATTTATTGTTTGAAGTTGTTTGATTAATGTGGTCATGGTAACTGCATACAGAGTTTTTTCAGTGCAAACCACTTGTTCAACCTACTTACAGGGTCAGTGTTATAAATATAACTACTTGTTTCTTTCAGAAAGCCACGGCCTGTTTCTCAGCTTGTGGCACAGCAAGTTAATCAGCAGTTTGCATCACCAACACATCCCAAAAAAGAGAAGAAGGAAAAATCAGAGAAGGACAAAAGTGACAAAGAACCCACATTGAAAAGAAAAAACTATAGAAAGAAGGGGTAATAAATCTGTTTTTAAAAAAAGAAATATGTTAATCTAAATCTTTTGTTGTTGGTTTTACAAATCTGAATTATTTAGTGTAATCTCTTGGTGTTTTTTTGTTTCTTTTTTCTTCTTACCAGGCCCAGATTAAAAAACATAGACAGGAGCAGCGCCCAGCATCTGGAGGTCACAGTTGGAGACTTGACTGTAATTATCACAGACTTTAAAGAGAAAGTCAAGCCCGTTTCTTCCTTGGCGAGCGTTGCCTCTGCAGACCAACACAGTCAAAGCGGCTCGAGCTCGGACAACGCTGAACGGGGGGTCTCCAGGTGCTCCTCGCCTCGCGGGGAAGGCTCCTCAATTAACGGGGAGACTCGCTAACCTTCTCACGGTCAGCACAACACATCGTTCTGCACTGATGGAGAAAATTCAAACTTCAGCCTGCACATATTTTATAAAATAAACCTTTAAGCTCCAGTTTAATAACGTTGACCTCTGCTTGAGGTTGGATATTTCACAGCCTTGTGAGGATATGTGCTCAGCTAAGCGTGGAACAGTAGCATTAAGTCCTGGATGTAAGTGGAACTGCACCACACGTTCCATTCAGCATGCCACATACTGTTGCTTCAACAATAGAAGACAGAAGAAATGTGAAGAAGTCATCTCAGATTATTTTTGTTTAACTTGCACTTGGTGCCGTCTTTTGTTTCTAACGATTTTAGCATTACTTCAGTTTTGTTCTTATAACACTGCTAGTTGCCTTGTTCAGCTGTAATGTTCTGCCTCTGAATGCAGTAACGTTTACCGTCTAACACCTGAGTACAAATACTGAACAGTTATACTGAGTCAGCTCTTGATAGTTGAGCCTGATTTGATCTATAGAATGCTTTATATAGTAAAATACAGAGGAAGAACGTTAGCTGTGGATACTTGGCAGTTTTTTTAATCATGTAAGATTTTTCAAGTACTTTGTGCTGTATATTAATACAGCTTTCAAGTACTGCATATTCCCTTGTCCAACTTCACACTTTTCTTTTATTGCACTGCAGAAAAGTGCTGTTGGCTTTACTTGACTAATTATCACTTCTCATCTCATTTTAAGATCATTGTTTCTATCCTGTGTGTAAAACTGTTGTTGGGGGGTGTTTGTGTTTGTGGTTCACATTATATGATTTCTCTGAATAAAGTTTAAATTTTCCAAATGAATATTTTACCTTTTACAAGGTTGTTTTGTAATAATTACTTAATCCACTCAAATGTTTCTCTTGATGGGGCTTGTTGTAGATTAAGTACATTTCCATTTTTTTATGTCTTTTTCTTTAAATTTTTGTCTTTTTTTTTTTCTGACTGAAATGTTTCAAATTTGCTCAGTTGTTTCCTGTCTCTTGAACAAAACCCACTTTTGTTGTTTACCTGTAGCAGAAATATTCTTTTTAGAAAATTCAGGTTATTATTCTGTCATCATTAAACTTATTTCTTATACATTTTGGTTCATTAGATATTTTTTTCTTTCGAGAACGGAGTAAATCCTACTTTTGAAGTAATTTGTGTGCTTTTTACTTGCAATCAAATTCTAATAAATCTAAGAAATAGTTTTGCCAATGAACAGATGCTTTGGTTTGCCTTTATAACAATCATTTCTTACAGTTTTATTGTTAAGGTTTCAGCTTGATCATCAGTATTACCTTTATGTCTGCAAGGCTGTGTTTTTACTACATTAATTTCCTGCAGTTTTTTTATCTTCTGTTATTGTGGGTATCGTTTTAAAAAATATATTTTAAAGTACTATTTAACTGCTAAGATTTTGTAGTTGCTTATTTCTGGGTCAAGGTGTAAGTTTTTAGTGCTGAAGATGAACAAATGGCATTAATCGAAACGTTTTCTGAGCACTCTTAAGTTCATGGATTTCTCGAAGTGTGGCGTTTTTACTACCATGAGATTTCCCTGGATGGATTTTATGAGGGTCTTTACAATGAATAACACTTTGTTTACAAAATGTGTTTGTCCCTTGTGGATTGCATATTGCCTGCTGCCTTCCATAACAGAAGGGATGGGGTAATGTTTGGCAAACCTTGTAAATCTTATGCACAGTCTTAATTCAGAGATTATGTTGAGGACTCTGAGCTTCTACCACACCAAAATTAGCTCATTATCTAAATTTGACTAGTTTAAAACCATTTTTGATTTGGTTCAAGTTAATAATTCACTATATCACTCAATAAGCCGTGCAGTGGGAGCTTTGTGTGCGTGCATATTTTTTCATTACTTTTAACAATTTGTTAGAAAGCCACAACCTCAGACCCCTTTGACCAATGTTGACTATTGATCGAAACTCAACCAGTAATTTCGTCTATCGTTGATCCAGCCAAAGCTGGGAGGTCCAAGGTCAGATCTGCTTCCACCTACTTGACTCAGACCAGTCAAGTCAGGTCCTCGCAGGCCCTCTGGACGAATAGGATTTTGAGCTGAGTGGGAAGAAGGATGCTGTCAACTTGTTGATAGATTAGCACTTGGACCTTAAGGTCTACCTCTGCACTTGCCCTGTACGGTACCAAATAAAGAACCCAGAAGAAAAAAGTTCAAAGTAACTCACCAGAATTTAGGAATCAACCAGGATCCACTAATTCAGTTTTGTGCACACAGGCAAACATTTTATTAAAAGTGAAATGTATACAAAAGCTGTACTTAAAAGCTTATAGTGACGGTTATATCAAAAAGGAAAAGTATAACTCAGTCTATAACTATGTCCTCACAAGACAACTAACTATTGCCCTAACCAAGAATTAAAAGATTAAAAAGAAGAAACTTAACCAAGATAAATGCTGGTCCTCTAAACCCTTCTGTCACCCCTTGGCCAAAATGACCCAAGGGCATCAGGAGGTAATCTACCGTCAGAGCTCAAAAGAAAAAAACAAGAACCTCAAAAAAGTCTCGAGTCAAAAAGCCCCAGCTCTGTTGTGCATAAGCTTTTTATAATCTACTGTCATATTTGTGCATGTACAGATAAAACATCTCTTAGTTCATGTCTCACACAAGAGGACCAGCTAGAATTACATCATGTCATATGATTATGCATGAAGAATAGGGTTACAGACACCTCCTTTCTCTGGTTATGAAATAAAAGGAAAAGTTACACTTTAAAAACACACACAAGCACACGAGTCTTCTCTTGAGTGTCCATTTCTTCTGGTTCAGCTCATTATCTTCAACAGGTCTCCTCTCATTGGCTGAAACTGACGGCTTCCAAAATGCACAGCTCCATAACTTCCAGGCTGCTGCAGCTGTGTAAGGGAGGATCTGATAACACGTCCGGTTAACACAGGTTGGCCTCTATATGCACCGGGCCCATCTTGGTATGGGTCTGTGCCTGGTATGGTCCAGTCCTGTGTCCAGCAGGAGCAGGGTGACCTGAGACTGACCTCTGATGCTGCCTGTTCTTGTAAACAGTCTCTGTCAGTGATCCGGTCGAAGCAGAGGGCCGCTTGTCCTGAGCCTGGTTCTGCTGGAGGTTTCCTCCTCATGAGGGAGTGTTTCCTTCCACTGTTACCTTGTGCTTGCTTGGGATGGGACACTGCAACAAAATGAAGACTCAATGCAATCTGCTGGCTACAATACCCTACTTTAAATAAATAATACTAATTGAGTTTTTATGTATACAAATGCATTTGTTCAGTGCCCTGAGATGACTTCTGTTGTGACTTGACACTATAAACTGAATTGAATTGAATTTTATCAGCTCCTGTCTGATAACTGTGATCAGATGAAGACACCACTTTTCATCTCTCCATCGATGGAGAGATAAATGTGTTTGTGTCTCATAAATGTGATCTCATAAAACTTCTTCAAGTTTCCACTTCTGGGCCTCCCAGGCCTCTTAACACAATTACCAGTAACTATGGTGGCTGTGTTGAACTACCAAAGGTAATAAGTTACATTCAGTCATTATTTTCTGAGTTTCACTAAACTCTGTCTTGTGGGTTCACAAGATATTTTGCTTATAGTTGAAATTTAACAGTAAATGTCAATGATTAAAATATATAGTGCACAATGTGTAGTACTCAGATTAAGTGTTAATGATAACTTTGTGTAAATACCACACCAAATGTCAGCTCAGTATCTATAAAACTGGCAAAAGTATAGACATTTTTATGCTTGATGAGGCTGTATACAGCTGGGTCCTCCAAAAGTTGTAGATCCAAAAATGTCCTGATGCATGTGCTGGTGAAAATTCTCAGTCATCCAGGACGTGATGAATTCAAAAAGCGTTCAATACAAAAACAACTGGACTTTATTTGTAACAGAAGACGTGAGTGAGAGATTCAGGTTATAAGGCTGAGTGGGATAAGACACACACACATACAGTGGGAAGAACAAGTATTTGATACACTGTTGATTTTTCAGGTTTTCCCACTTGCAAAGCTTGTAGATGACTGTAATTTTTATCATAGGTACTCTTCAACTGTGAGTGATGGAATCTAAAACAAAAATCCAGAAAAATACAATGTATGATTTTTAAATAATTAATTTCCATTTTATTGTGTAAAATAAGTATTTGATCATCTATCAACCAGTAATAATTTTGGCTCTCACAGACATGTTAGTGTAGTGAACCTGATCTGAACCTCAAATCTTGATCAGATGAACTGAGACTGTTATTTCATTGATCTGCATCCAGGAATACAGTTTGAGCCATCTGGTGACTTTCTTTCTTGAATTAATCAAGCAGAAAAGACAATTCTCTATAATCATTACTGTTTTACAAATGTTTGATAATCAAATTGTGTTAGTTCACTCAATGTTACAGGTTGAAAAGAACTACTCATTTTTATTTTACATAAACAGTAAGTAATGATTTTTATTCCTCATTCAAAGAAGAAATCAGGTTAATATGCATTTCTTGATTTTTCTGTCTGCAATGTAAGTATGTTAAAGGTCGGTTCTCGGTCAACTAAAATGTTTACCGAGAAAAATGTCATGTTTAAACTTTTTCAGAAGATAATAAGAGTGAGACTCCACGAAGTCTGAAGTCCTACAATAATCTTTCTGTTTGTCACTAAAACAATCCTTGACTTTTAATAACATCTTACATCATACACCACACCTCTATTCCTGGTCCATCGACCAATCAAAAGCTCTCAAATGACCCAGAAGTCGACCCATTTAAAATGTGGCAACTTCCCAGTTCATTGGGGGAGTTGCAAGAAGCTGAGACGCTGAGTTGCTGGAGTTTATTGGTTGCTGTGTTGCTGTACTCAAAAATGAGTTCAACTAGAGAGTGCACAGAGTGATGGAGTCAGAGTTCTTGGGTGCAAACGCGTTCAGGATGATCCAGAGACGTTTTGGGATTATAATTTCTGTTTGAACACCACGCACGACTCTCGAAGGATTTCAGCTGCTCTCAACGGAGACGCTGAAAGAGTCTGAAGGATTCTATACCGACATTGAGCTATCGTCAACCAGGTAACAGTTTCTTCTTCGACTAAAGTGTACCGGAGGCAAGCTGAGATCTGATGGAGCGTGCACGTTTTCTGGTCAAACAGATTAATTCCCTCACAAATCTCTCTGTAACATAAATCTCCATTTCCATCTTAAACTCTGCTTTCTCTTAAAATCAGTACAGATATTTTAGAAATATCTGAAGCAAAGTCCTCAATCACCGCCGTGTGATTGAAGCCCATTTTCTGTGAAACTTGTCTGTTATTATTTTCATATTTTGCCAAATTAATGTAAATGTTTGATGTTAAACTTTGATTCTGAAAATAAATGACCGCATTCATTTGATGGGTCAAACATAAATAACGTCTCTCGTTACATTTCTGTTAAAATTCAATGCACGACATTTACACAGTCAGAAAGATGAGGAACTCGTGAAAAGTATGCATATATTTCCCTATATTGTCATACTACATTAGTTCTTCTTTAAGAAGCCCTCCTGTTCTCCACCCATTACCTGTATTAACTGCACCTGCACCAGGTGTTTCCTGTAGTTCTTGACCAGGTTTGCACACACTGCAGCAGGGATTCTGGCCCACTCCTCCATACAGATCTCCTCCAGAGCCTTCAGGTTTCGGGGCTGTCGCTGGGCCACACGGACTTTAAGCTCCCTCCAAAGATTTTCTATGGGATTCAGGTCTGGAGACTGGCTAGGCCACTCCAGGACCTTAAGATGTTTCCTACGGAGCCACTCTTTAGTTGCCCTGGCTGTGTGTTTTGGGTCGTTATCATGCTGGAAGACCCAGCCACAACCCATCTTCAGTGCTCTTACTGAGGGAAGGAGGTTGTTGGCCAAAATCTCACGATACATGGCCCCGTCCATCCTTCCCACAAGGTGCAGTCGTCCTTTCCCCTTTGCAGAAAAGCATCCCCAAAGAATGATGTTTCCACCGCCATGCTTCACGGTTGGGATGGTGTTCTTGGGGTTGTACTCATCATTCTTCTTCCTCCAAACATGACGAGTGGAGTTTAAACCAAAAAGTTCTATTTTTGTCTCATCAGACCACATGACCTTCTCCCATTCCTCCTCTGGATCATTCAGATGGTCATTTGCAAACTTCAGACGGGCTTTGACATGCGTTGGCTTGAGGAAGGGCACCTTGCGTGCACTGCAGGATTTTAATCCTTGACGGTGTAGAGTGTTACTGATTGTTTTCTTTGAGACTGTGGTCCCAGCTCTATTCAGGTCATTGACCAGGTCCTGCCGTGTGGTTCTGGGCTCATTCCTCACCTTCCTCAAGATCAATGATGCTCCACGAGGTGAGATCTTGCATGGCGCCCCAGACCGAGGGAGATTTTCCGTTATTTTGTATTTCTTCCATTTTCTAATAATTGCACCAACTGTTGTTGCCTTCTCACCAAGCTGCTTGCCTATTGTCCTGTAGCCCATCCCAGCCTTGTGCAGGTCTACAATTTTATCCCTGATGTCCTCACACAGCTCTCTGGTCTTGGGCATTGTGGAGATGCTGGAGTCTGATTGATTGAGTCTTCTTCTTATTGGGATTTTATGGCGGTGAGCAAACAACTGAAAGGTGCATGGCCGCCACCTACTGGTGTGGAGTATGGACTGGTGATTGATTGAGTGTGTGGACAGGTGTCTTTTATACAGGTCACGAGCCTAAACAGGTGCAGTTAATACAGGTAATGGGTGGAGAACAGGAGGGCTTCTTAAAGAAGAACTAACATGTCTGTGAGAGCCAAAATTATTACTGGTTGATAGATGATCAAATACTTATTTCACACAATAAAATGGAAATTAATTATTTAGAAATCATACATTGTATTTTTCTGGATTTTTGTTTTAGATTCCATCACTCACAGTTGAAGAGTACCTATGATAAAAATGACAGTCATCTACAAGCTTTGCAAGTGGGAAAACCTGAAAAATCAACAGTGTATCAAATACTTGTTCTCCCCACTGTATGTAGATTTGTCAAGTCACACCTCCACACCTTAACAGTAGGGGCTTCTTAAAAGTCTTTGTTCCTCTAATTCACAGACGAGGCCCCTCTGTTCCCATCAGGTGTGAAAACCGGCTGGGAATCAGTCTTAACGTTGCATTATAGGTTTTTGAAAGTGGAAATCTGAGGCCTCCTCCTCTGTTAAGAGACAGCTTTTCTCTTTTTACATAAATTGCTTCCTTCACCCCCTTCTCAAACCATCTGTGTTCTCAGTCCAAAATGTGCACATTTTGGTCCTCAAATGAGTGTCCCTTATCTGTGAGGTGGAGGTGAACAGCTGAATCTTGTCCTGAGGAAGTAGCTCTCCTGTGTTGAGTCATGCGTCTGTGAAGAGGCTGTTTAGTTTCTCCAATGTAGAGGTCTGGACAGTCCTCGCTGCACTGGACCACATACACTACACCACTCTGTTTGTGTATGGGTGTTTTGTCCTTAGGGTGGACCAGCCTCTGTCTGAGAGTCCTGCTGGGTTTGAAATGTACTGGGATCTTGTGTTTGTTAAAGATCCTTCTGAATTTCTCTGATACTCCAGCAACATAAGGGATGACAATGTTTTTACGTCTGTTGTTCTCCTTTTTCTGTTTATTAGTGTGTTTTGTAGATTTCCTCACTGACTTGACAAAAGCCCAGTTAGGATATCCAAGGGTCCTGATGCATGCTCAGTAATCCTGGCAGATAGGTCTAACAAGGTTGAGTCAGGTCCTCTGGATGGATTCTTGTTGAAACGTTTCGTCTTTTATCCAAAAGACTTCTTCAGACTGAAGAGCTGCAACAAACACAAGGGTCCCGCGTACTCCATCCAAAGTGCCAAAATCAGCTCTCATTATCATAGTTGCATGATGAAAATTGTGTCATTGTGTTTGCAGAGAAGCTTCACCCGCCGCTTCTCAACACAAGACCTGGACCAAACTTTTTCTCACAGGAGTAAGCACCAAGTGTGTGATTGATCAGAAGTTTGTGGGTGTATTTGCCAATGTAAAAATGTTTTCTGACATTCAGCGGTATGACTCTTGAAACACACTAAATTAGTCAAATGGCCAAAAACTCCTGATGGAGATCATGCAGATATTGTGTATGGAGGAGTCTGTCTGCTGAAAACTGTGGCATACAGTAGATAGACTTAATTATAGAATTGTGGACAATCATTGGATGCAGGGATGGAGTGGAGACTCATGAAGTTCAGTCAGTTGACGGGCAATTCTGCCACATCCAATATGGCGGCCGCTCCGACGTACCGCTGCAACGGGACAGCCCACTCAACGAGGTGTCTGCCTCACCAGTTCTCTGTTGTGAACACCCTGGCAGATGACAATAGCCAATCAGTGATGGAGAAAGTTCAGGGGAGCTTTGCTATGAAATAATGATGAATGATTGTTTGAAACGTGTTTAATAAGTTAACTCAGAAACCGCCGATCTGACTCCAATTACGCCCAAATTATCCCCGCCCGCCCAAAGCAATTTTACCCGCAAAATCAGCATGAAAACCGCCCAAATGGCGGCAAACCGCCCAATCTGGCAACACTGGTTGAGTACTAGGATTAGATACACATGAGACAGACTGTTCAGATTAACCGGAACACGTGCAGAGGTGGGCGGGGCGGAAAACTGTAAACACCAACTGCGCTCCGCCCCCTGCCCTGTGATCTAGTACAGTAGGGCTCTGGTCTACCCGCATCATGGTGACAAGAAAAGAAAAGTGAAAATGTATTTGTAGCGACTACAATAATGCGAAACCCAAAATGCGATGCTATCTTCACGCATTTCTCCTGTGCGTGGTCGTCACTTTTCTGTCGTTGTTGTATGTGTTCAGTCAGCTAGCCCCCACCTTGGAGGACCGAGACGAGTGGGGGGAGATCGATGGCGGGACAGCGGGCAGGGCCAGTCACCACTCCGGCCACGTTCTCAGGAAAACACCGGGACTGGCAGGCCTCGGGGACCGGGGAGAAGGACCGGAGAGGTAGTTTAGCTAGCCTAACAATCTATGTCATTACTTCTGTGTCTCAGCTGAACAAATGATTAGAAATACATTTTTAAACTGTATCTGTAGTAATAAGTTTAGAGTTAAGTAATAAGTTTAGAGTTAAGTATTAAGTTTAGAGTTGGCTCGCTAGTGAAACAAAAATATTTTATCTGCTAACTAGCAGGTAAATTAGTTTTTTGGTAAATGACTAGACTGTATTTTATTTTAAGGAGGGAAAAAACCAGTTACACTTGTTAACGATGTCACTTGTTACTTTCTGAAAAATGTTAATTTTGTATTTATTAACCGCTTGCAGTTCGCCAGCAAGGTAACCGATAAGCTAATGCTAACTAATTAACCTCAGTTTAAAGCTGGATTTAGAGCACAGCCATCTGTTTATCAACTGCTTGAGGGAAGATCTGATCATTAAAAGTTCTGTCAAAGAGATTAATTTACCGATCGAGATCCAAAAGGTGGTGTTTTTATTCTGTCAGGTGTAAATCACTGTCAGTGAAACCGTATTGGAGACTGCCTGCTGATGTTTGTGGAGAGAACTGCTTGTTGGAATCGTCTTGTAGGTATGCCTGATTTTGTGAACCTTTATAAATGATACCAGTTAACTTTACACGTTTTACTCACTTTCAAAATGTTTCCCATTTCAGAGTAAATGCCAGGTTTTTGTTAGTGTTTCTTGAGCTACAATGACAAGTTTGTGCTGAGTACTTTTTACTAATTGATTAGTATATCACCATTATGTAACACAACTACCTAGTTTTATAACACAGCATTACCTTATCAACACTATCATGTGAACTCACTTCCATTGCTCTTAAATGAATGTTATCATAATGAAGTCACACCCGTCCTCAACCCTGATTCTGTAAGAACACATAAACTGGATGATTTGAAGTTGTACATGGTGAAACTCGCAAGGGTTTCTAAAATTCTTTAGCTGTTCTGGTCATGGGTCCAGTTTGTTGTGGTCCATGAGCCTTGCTTGCTTTATTTTTTAACTATGCTATTAATATTATTATTATTAAAATCAAAGTAGTGGCTTGCTGAAACCTAAATAAAGTTCAATGTCCTTAAATACCTTTTTTACCATTGGGTCTGTCTAGGCCTGTCACTATAAACAATAAATCAATTAATCGCATGATAAATGAAAATTATCAACCTCATTTTCATTTATCGACTGTATCGTTTCTTCGTGTCTCTCTTTCTACTGAAGACACTGGATGATAAGACTCAACTCCGGTGCTCTTCACTGACCCCTCCCTTTCTCTTTTCTCTTTAAAATCTGTTTTAACCGTTCAAAATCACATTTTTGGATCATTAAAAGCAGCTAAACTGAGAAACTAAGCTACCAGACCAACTTGGAAAAAAAACTCCGTCTTGTCAAAGCTGCAAAATTCACGGTTGAAACCCGTGCCTTCATGTAAAAAGTTGTTTTTCTCTGCAAAAGGAATCTGAGAACTTCCATCCATCCATCCATTTTCTTTACCCGTTTGTTCCATTTTGGGTCACGGGGGTCGCTGGTGCCCATGTCCAGCAATCAATGTGCGAGGGGCGGGGTACACCCTGGACGGGTCGCAAGTCCATCACAGGGTCACATAGAGACAAACAAGACAAACAACCATTCACTCTCTCACTCACACCTAGGGACAATTTAGAGTTACCAATCAGCCTAACATGCATGTTTTTGGTCTGTGGGAGGAAACCGGAGCACCCGGAGAAAACCCACGCATGCACGGAGAGAACATGCAAACTCCACCCAGAAAGGCCCCTGGACCGGGGTTTGAACCAGGGACCTTCTCACTGAGAGGCAGCAGCTCTACCAGTTGCGCCACCGTGCTGCCCCAATCTGAGAACTTGTTTACTGATTTTTTAAATTAAAAGCTATGTGTGAAAAATGCTATGCTAAAGAGCTCAAACACACAGAGCATCCGCCATTTTGAGAACCGAAAAAAAGGAAAGCGAGACAGCCCATGTCACGTCAAGAAGCCTCCCTCCCAGACACGCTGCTGGCTTCCTCACTATCCATCCTTCGGTTCAAGCAGTCTTATACTGCTATCCGGTGGTCAAAAAAGGTACTACACACAAAACTTAACCAACATTTCTTCTTAAATTTGACAGTAATTACTAATTATTGTCAAATTTCAAACAATATTATCATTTATCACAATAATTTCTCAGACAATCGCCCAGCAAAATTTGTTATCGTGACAGGCCTAGTCTGTCCTTGTATCAGTGATTCAAATTAGAAGAGTGAATACATTTGGTTAGTTTTTTTGTACTTAGGGGTTAATAATCATGTACACAAAGAGAAGATCAATCAATCAACCTTTATTTATACAGGTAAATCCCATTGAGCCTCGAGGACTCATTTACAAGAGAGACCTGATTTCAACAAAGAAAGATGACAACAATGAACAACAGCAACAACAAAACAGTTATAAAAAAAAGCATACTACAGTTTTTTTGCAAATTGATTTGTATAACTTCATTAGGAAAGACTAAGAAAAAACTTATGGTCAGGATTTTTTGCTGCAATTGCTAGTACGTTTATGATGTTGTAAAATTAAGAGCTTATTTTATTCACTGATTTACTGTATTTACTGTGTCTGGGCTCTTTTAGTGAGAGATCAGGCTCTGTTGCCAAGGATCATCATGGTGAGGGGAGTCACCTGGCTGTTGTGGCCTGCGGCCCCAGGCTGGAGGAGACTCTGATCATGTTGAAGTCTGCATTACTCTTCAGCAAAAAGCTACTGCACTTCTACATCTTTGCTGAGGATGAGCTACATGACAGCTTCAGGGATGAAGTGAGTCTTTCACAGCAACGCAAGAATACAAAAGAAAGAAAAGTTCATTCAACAAGCAAAAGCAAACGACACCACGGTTGTTACTTTAGAATCGTGGCTGGTGATCAGTGAAGGAAAGAAAAGTGAAAAATGTTGTCAGCTAACTGTTAGCCTTTAGCCTCAGTCCTCATAATTGTGTTGATTAATCATATTGAAAATACTGGAGTGTTTAAAGTGTTGCTATACAAAGAGTTGTGGGATGTGAATATCTTGTTTTTGTCATATACTGCAGTAAAGTAACGGGAGATGAAATAAAGGAGTCTCTGACACTTCTTTTATTAGCAGCTAAATAATTTAACCAGCTTTTATTATGGCTGTCACTTAGACACTGTTTTTACAGCTCTTTAAACAAAAAGATAATTTTATTGAACTCCAAGACCTGGTAGATGCGCCTTTTATACCCCATTTTAACTCCCTAAGCTTTCACTGGAAAAAAATAGCTTATCATAAATATCCAGAGCTATAATTTATCTATATTCTTTTAACTTTTCTGCCTTTTTTGTTTTACCTCTTCGCCAAGTTTTGACTGTGTGGCTGGCATCAAGTTTAACCTTGTTTAAATGTTCTAAATGTAATAATGTCAAAAACACTTAAATTTTACATCATTTGGTGGCTGAAAGGCAATTAATACTTTGTAAATTAAATGGTAAATGGACTGTACTTATAGTATATAGTGTCCTATCTAATCCAGGTACTCAAAGCTATTTACAACACAATCTGTGCCCTCATTGACCTCCACACAAACACTACTATCTACCAAGAATAATCAGAGCTTTATCACAGTCATACACCGATGGGACACACATGAGAGGCAACAGGTTCAGTGTCTTGCCCAGGGACACTTCAGCATGTGACTGCTGGTGGAATTGAACCCCCAACTCTTCCATTGGAGGAAGACTTCTCTAACCACTCAGCCACAGCTGTACCATTTTTAAAAATTAGGATTCAAACTTTTGGTTGGTTGACTGGGGTTTATAATTGCCCAGTGCCAATTCTTAAAAAAATCTAGGCAGCTGAAAGTGTTTCATTCTTACATGCAGCTCGTTTCGTCCACTTCTAAAGAAACATTTTTTGCGTCAAATCTCAGCATGCTTCTTCCAATTTATGTGCTGTCGTTTTCAAGATCAGCTTTGTGGGCAACTACAACATGCGTACAACAAATAATCCACCTTGCACAGTCTTTGAAGGAAAATAACTGAAAACTTAATTATGGTTTTAACATTTTCCCTCATAGATCTGACATTGTTTTTTTAAGAACTTAATAAAGTTTTATTGATTTTTTACAGAGCACTACAGATCAATTGCACAGTCATACATCAGCAGTAGTTAACATAAGTGTTGACATCGTGAACGTTTCCATAGATTTAACATCTCAGCATAACATTTTACAATTTCAGCATCGCATTTGTACTTTTACAATCATCATATAATCAAAAAAAAAGCAAGAGGATCCACTCTGGGTGGTAGGGCCGGCCCATCCACCCACGCAGATAAGCCAACTATCATGTAGATATCCATTCACACGGACAGAGCTTACCCATCCACGCAAACAAGACCCTCTCATGTACACGAGTAGAGTACCCACTGGTCTCCAGTGCAGATGAAAAGTAGCTCTTTGAAGTCTTAATAAGTATGTTATCTTTTCCATTTGGTACAATTCCCTTACTTTCTGAACCCAGAAGCTGTAGTAGGGTGGCTGTAATTACATCCACTTAATTGTAATGCATTTCAGGGCTGCTGTAAAAAGAACATTTAAAATATATAATTTGGTTCGTCCTTGCAGCCCAGCTGGGGTAATACTGAGTACTGCAACCGTTACATCCCTTGGTATAACCTCCTGAAAGATCTGGTTTAAAGCCTTGTACACATCATCCCAAAAATAGTAGTTTGGGCCATGACCAAAAGATACGTGTGTGACTGGGCACTGCTGAGCCGCAGTTTCTCCAACACAAGCTTGGTACTTTAGGATCTATCTTAGCAACTACATCTGGGGTCCTGAAATATCTACTGATGATTTTCCATTTATATTTCCGCCACATATTTGAGTTTGTAAGTCGATGTGCCTCAGTTCAAACACCTTCCCATATTTTGTCAGGAATCACTTTGGCCGTCTCTGCCTCCCATCTTTGTTTTGTCCGAGTGGGTTCATTAAAATTCATGAACAGAAACACCTTATATAACTTTGCTATCAATTTCTTATCTCCTTCACCTTTTTAGAATTGAATAAGTAAGTTCTCAATTATCGTGGGGTTTAGTACTCCTTCCTAGTCAAGAAAGAGCAACTGTAATTATCTGAAGAAATCATTTTTTGGAGATGGGAGTGCCCACGTAATTCTTCGATTGACATGATGTTGTTCCTTTTGACTAACCAATGTAGGAACGTGAGCCCCTGTTTAGACCATTTTGAAAAAAATTTGTCTAAGAAATTGTGAGTGAAGGATTTAATATGTTGACGTTGTTTTACAAGTTGATGCAACGTTTTGGTCACCTTCCTTTGGAGCTTGCCAGTGTTGTGCTAAAAAATCATCCCTGCTGTTAAAGCATCCCCTCCCAAATGTCTGCACCAGCCTTTGAATTGGTTTAAGATGCTTATTTGTGAACAATGGGGGGGGATACAACACTTATATTGAAAAATCAGCCAATCAATCAATCAATCAATCAATCAATCAATCAATCAGTGTTTTCTTTAAATAAAACTATCACAAATGTACATATCTACCAGCATTGCATTTTTGATAGTTTCTCAACTTTTCTGGAAATTGTTTTTCCTTGTGCAGTGATTTGCCTTTGACAGTTGTTACCAACATGAGGGAGGCGGCACATGTACCACATGCACCAAACAAAATAACTTTAATCATGCTTTCAGATGATTTTTGATTGCTCACTTAATTTCTTATGTTTTTGTCACATTTTTGCCCCAACACAAATTTTCTTCTTTAGCATAAACAATAATTTATGAATCATTAAATAAATGTCAAAATTGAATATATGGATTACAACAAAGGTTTTCTGTTTCCATTTCAGCAACAAAGACACCGTCCAGATGTCCTGACTGAACATTGTTGGATTATTACCTGGATTACTGAGCATGAACTTTGGTGTTTTCTGTTTGTCTTTTATTCTAGCTGGAATTGTGGCCAAGGACATTTCAAGGAGAATTCACCTTCACCATCTATCCAATCACCTTTCCCAAGGAGAATGCAAACGAGTGGAAGAAGCTCTTCAAGCCTTGTGCCTCTCAGAGGCTCTTCCTCCCAGTAGGTCCCAAGTCATTCAGCTACATGACTTTCAATAGTTGTTCTTATACTAAAGGTGCTAATATATCAATTTTTTCCAGCTAATTCTAAAGGAAGTGGACTCCTTGCTTTATGTGGACACAGACATTCTTTTTTTGCAGCCAGTAGAAAACATCTACGCCCTGCTTTCTCATTTCAATACAAAGCACTTGGCTGCCATGGCCCCAGAGCACGAGGAGCCTCGGATTGGATGGTACAACCGTTTTGCACGCCACCCTTACTATGGCAAGACGGGCATTAACTCAGGGGTCATGCTCATGAACATGACAAGGATCAGGGAAAAGTTCTTCCAGGTAAAAGTCCTAAAAACGCGTGAGCACCACAATCTTCCTTTTCTGATATCTGCAGGGTGTGTTTCCTTCTATCGTGCAAAGTTGACTGCAACGTTTTATGGTTCTTTGTCGACCTCAAAGATAAAGTACATGTTTGTGGGTTTAAAAGTTGCATTGCTGTTAAGAAGTATTAGATATTAACAGCTGCAGCCATTACATCTTGTTATTGAGGACAGCAGCTTGAGAAACAAAGAACTAAATATACATTTTAATAGAAAGTAGGAGCTGCTTTTCTGCATTACTATAATTGACCAGTTGAGGTCACTCTTGTAATTCCTTTTAAAATCTTACACGCTCAGATGTTTACCAAACAACTTCCTTGGATGTAAATTGTTTATTGAAAGATTTCTCCACTACAATGCCAGATTTATATTTTTTCATGTACAATGACACCAGTGTGTTGCTGTGTTCCCTACCTCCAGAACAGTATGGCAGCTTTTCCACTGAAGTGGGAGGAAATGTTGATGCCTCTTCTCCAAAAGTACAAACTCAATATTACCTGGGGAGACCAGGACCTTCTTAATATCATATTTTATCATAACCCAGGTAGGTGCTACTTCAATATTTACAATTATATATATGTTCCCTTTGCTTAGAATGCAAAACATAATATTTCTTGAAGATGTTTTGTGTTTTAGATATTTACTATAAAACAAGGATGGCAATAGATTTATATTGACTAAGTCTAGTTATTTATAACTGTAATATTTCCTTTATTTCTTTGTTTTGTTACAGAGAGCCTGTATGTGTTCCCCTGCCAGTGGAACTACCGTCCAGACCACTGTATCTATGGCAGCAACTGTCAACAGGCGGAACAAGAAGGTGTCTTTATTCTCCATGGTAACAGAGGAGTTTATCACAATGACAAGCAGCCGGCTTTTCGAGCTGTTTATGAAGCCATCAAAAAGGTAGATGGCTACTATACAGTCTTTACAGAAATGTTACTGTCTTAATGTCTGCATATAAACTAATGAAGTTTGTGTTGTAGGAATTCTAACAGCTGATGGTAAAAATCGAATGCAGGATAAAGACTTGCTTTTCCTTGGAGAGCAATTTAGTGTGTAGAACAGACTATTTGGAGAATTGTTTTGTTAGTCATTTTCTTATCAATAGGAACTTCAAGGCTTCCTTTTTTTATTATGAATGCATCCGCCCCCCAATGCATAATCAATAACTGATTTAACACTCCCTCCATGCTGTTGAAGTTTTCCTAAAACGGATCAAATCTTCCAGGTATTGACAGCTGTATTTTGACTAAACAGTACACAAGTTAACAAGTATTTCCTGTGTGAAAAGATACAGATCCAGTTTAATCCAAAATGTTGTTTGTCCCTCTGGGTGTGTTGTAAAGTGTTCTGTTTGGCGTTGTGTTGTGGGAGCTGGAATGGCCACAACAATAAAACATTTGAAATGGTTCAGCCGTGAGAAGCACAGAAAGGATGTGCAGAAACACAGTATGAAGGCCTCCCTTTTGTCCTGGAGAGCATGATGGCAGCTCCTGCCACTGTTGCTGCATTTGACTGTAACAAATACAAAGAGGTTTGATTTCTATGAAACTGTAGCCATCCAGAACTTTAGTCCTGTAGCAAGCAGGCTGCATTTAGCTCATTAGGTGTTCAATGGACGCCATATATTTTACACTAGCTGGCACAAGAAAGGCAACGCGCATCAAGCTGGTCATTGTTGGCACTCATGGGTAGCTCAGCTGTGTTTCAGATATGAAGGCAGCAAGATGCAGGGATGAAGAGAACAAGATTTCACTCACTACTGCAGCAGATAGTACACAAGATCTCCTGCTTCATTAACCCATTCATGTTAGTTAAGATAACTACTTAACAAATTATTACTTTAGCTCTGCAAATCCTGAACATTCTTGTTGTGATATTTGGAAAACAAAGCTTTTTTCAAGTTTTTTGGTTCAGGGTTTCCAATTCCATTGTCTTATATTTTAGCCTCTCCCTCTTGTGACAAACTTTAAAGGCCAAAGAGCAGGAGTAGGGTGGACACTAGAAAATAGTATTTAGACAAAAAGCAATGTAAAGTACCGTATATAACAGTATTAGACGATAGGCTGGCCGATTATAAAGCCACACATTTGAAGTTACCAGTAGTAACCCCTTGGTCGTTTGCAATCGTGGAGCAGAGGGGAATAAAAAGTACGGTACCCTCTCTCTGTTCAACTTGTGAGCTGGATAACTTGAATAATAAGTAAGGTACCTTCCATTTTGCTGTGTGGCTGCAACTAGGCGTAAGAAGATTCCTATCAAAAATGGGGTCGCTGCGTCAAAATCCAAGATGGCTGCCAACGTATAAACCTTGTGAGCTGGATAACTTTAAAAAAAAGCAATGCGCTGACTTCCATTTTGGTTTGTAACGGCATCTAGGTGTAAGAAAGGTCACTATGAAAAATTTGTGATATGTCAAAACCCAAGGTGGCCACCGCCATATGTGTAAACGGATCACACTGATCATTAGAGGAAATTGTGCTTTCTATTTTTTTATATTGCTTAAAAGTAGTTTTCTCAAATGACTGTGGTGGCTGAAGATTAAGTTACGTTGGCTAAGGCCACCATTGGCCACCCCCCAGCTCTGCCATTGCTCCTGGTTGTGGATAAGATTACTCCCTCTGCTTGTCAGGATCTGGCATTTGGTGCCGCCTTGGATAAGATTTAAAAAAACATAAACATCTCTTTTCTTGTGCACACAGCTCCTAACCACCAAAATATTAAGGTTTATTTGCATTATCCTGTTCAAGTCCTGTCCAGAAAAACACTCGTCTCGAAAATGTGGCGTACTGCTTGCTGTGAATTATTTCTCCCCTTTTCAGAAAATTGATTTTTGAACTTTAGATTTGGTCAAAACAATTTGTATTTTACTGTCCTAACTGGTAAGGGCACTTTTAAAAGCACACTTAGGGGGTATTGTTTGCACTCTCTTGACTAATTTAAACTTAATGAGCCTAAATGTTCAGTACATTTACATCATCAGTGAGCAAGCAAATCAGCTTGGGAGCGCTCACATTCTTTCGCTTGTAGCTTCGTTTTGATCTGCCCCTGTTGGTTTTTAGCAGACTGGTCAACATGCAGGCAGCAATTGGGGAGAGTACAAGAAGCGCCATTAACTGTTCTCCATCCATTACCAGCACAGGCCTTAGTCTGGCCACTATCAGTGCAGGCGATGTTCTTAGCCATTAGGTAAATGAGCGGGCTTCATTATGGGGCACTCGGCCCTCTTAGCTCCATCAGTCTCTCAGACAGCACAAATACACATATTGCTCATTAGAGTCACCTGATTTTAGGACATAGAGAAGTACTGTTGTTTATCATTAGTATGCGTAATGCATTAAGTATAACGTTCTCTTTATAAATGCAGAGAACTGAAGAGCAATTCACTGTTTTTCCAGAGTATGTTTTGAATAAGTTGTAAATCAGCTTTTCTTTCTTCATTTCTCTTGGTACCTTCCTTCTTTGTTCTTGGTCCTTCCTGTGATGACAGTATTCTAAAGCCTGGAACAGGCACTTCTGGAAGAAACGCCGATTTTCCTTCCCGCCCAGAGCTCCTTAGTGAGCCCAGCTCCCAAGGCAGGCTCTCTCAGCCAGCAGAGGAGCTCATAATAAAGACCACTACCATTACCCGGCCAAGCCCACTGAAGAGTTGTAAAATTTTTAGTGCTGATGCTAGTTTGAGACATCATGATGGCTGTATGGACAACGCAACAGCCACTTCCACATAAAAATTGATAGGAGGCTGTTAATGGTTCTATATTGCCTGCTGCAGTGTAAAACAGATATAAAATCTGTACTTTGGTAGCATGATGCTTTCTCAAACCAGAGTCAAATAGTGAACTCTTTTATTTACTGCAGTCATGAAAGATTGGTCTCCCTCAATATATAACAATGCACGGCTCACATTTTTTATTTCCATGCTAAATGTGACGAGATCTACTATTAACTTGAGATACAAGTTGTTTTTTTTATTATTTTTTTACTTTTCTGTGCGTTTGATGACAAAGAAGACATTCAGTGTGGAAGCACATCAAAAATACTGCAGCTGTAGCTTTCTTTAATGTTGTCACGCTTTACAAAGTCCATTTTTATGTACCTGCGATGATAGATATTCATCTGTCAAACACTGAATTGACAGATTATTAATCAAATGAAAGTGTTATTGTCTGGAACTGACAGCAGTCTAATTCATATGATGTGAATGCAGATTTTATTGTCCTATACAGACAATACAGCAAGCAGCATTGTGAAAACCCTGCAGTTAAAAAAAAAATCAAGTATGGCTCATATTCTGGCATTAATCATAAATAATGGATGTAGCATTTGTAACCCTTGTTGCATCATTTGGGGAAAAATCAGCCACACATTTATTTTTGTTTTGTGTTTTCATTTTTAATTTATTTTTGGTGAAGTCCACCCGCTTCTTCCTGTTTGGGTCACGGGGGTCACTGGTGCCCATGTCCACCCATCACTGTGTGGGAGGGGGGGACACCCTGGACAGGTCTCCAGTCCATCACAGGGACACATAGAGACAAATGAGACAAACAACCATTCACTCTCTTATTCACACCAAGGGACAATTTAGAGTTACCAGTCAGTCTAACATGCATGTTTTTGGTCTGTGGGAGGAAACTCACACATGCACAGAGAGAACATGCAAACTCCACCCAGAAAGGTCTGGATTCGATCCTGCCATCTTCTAGCTGAGAGGCGTCAACGCTACCAACGGCTCCACCGTCTCGTCCTATTTTGGTTTTCTGGAAAAAAGAAGAAGAAAAAAGATTTCCTTGTAGTTTGTGTCAGCAGTTTAAAATAATTTTCTAGATCAGGAGTGTAGCCAAATTCAAAGTGCCTACAACGGTGACATAGCATCAGCTCTTCAGTAAACAGAAAACCAAATCTAACCTGCACGTGTCTTTTTTCATCCCAGTACCGTTTTGGTGAGAACATGGAGACGTCACTGCTTCAGCCGCTGGAAGCATCACTGCAGACGACCACGAGTACTTACTGCGGCAGAGTGAGTCACCTGTTTACCAAGAGGTTGAAACAGAGCATCAGTTCTGTGCTACAAGAGAAGAGGATGGAGAACACCAGCAATTAAGACTCTGCCATTAGTGCCTAATATGGGGCGTGAATATCAGGCATATGAACAGGGGCGGCTGTGGATGAGAGGTTAGAGCAGTCGTCCTCCAATGGGAGAGTTGGAGGTTCGATTCCACCAACAGTCACATGTTGAAGTGTCCCTGGGCAAGACACTGAACCCTCATTGCCTCCGATATGTGTCCTGTCAGTGCACAGTATGAGGGGAATCTGAGATTGTCATCATAGTATGTTCCCATATAATTGCAAAATTAATTATCTTCATTTAACCCATTGCACCTGGGATACACCCAGGTGGAGCAGTGGGCAGCTATTTTAAGTGCCCGGGGAGCAATTAGGAATTAGGCGTCTTGCTCAGTGACACCATGACGTGGGAATGTCTGGGGTTCGAATCTGGGACTTTCTGGTCCCGAGTCGGCTGTTCTACCTCTACCCCATCTCAGCCCCTCATGAATGTGATAAAGCTCTGATTATTCTTTGTAAAAGTACAGTAGAGTGCTGTATGAGTGGGTAAACGAGAGCACAGATTGTAGCGTAAAGCACTTTGAGTGTCTTGATCAGATAGAACAATGTTATACAAGTACAGTCCGTTTACCATTTACAATGTTTGTCAACTTTGTTACTCCTGTCGAGACAAGCTGGTTGACCTTTAATACTCTGAGCAATAATTTATTGCCAAACATTATCTAAATGGAGGAAATGAACAAATGGAATGTGTTTTATTGTTTTATATGAAACTACTTCTGGTACAAATCTGTCCGTTGAACACAGTCAGGTCTGATAAAGATAACACTCCCGTATTATTGACAATCAGTTTATACTTTTGTTGTATTTTTAGAGGAAAAGTGACATTTTATTTAGCTATTTGGGGTTTTAATGAACAAAAAGTACTTATGGAGTATTATTTGAAAGTTTTAATATATTTCTGCATTCGACTTGTGATTTTCAGGTACTGGTTGATGATTAGAGTAAGTTCTCTGAATAAGACGCACTGATTCTTAGACTTTCTTTTTGTTATAATCTGATCAGTATTTGTTTTTTTTGTTGGATTCTGTAATGTAAACCAGAATAATTTAATAAGTGGTTATTATTTCAAACACTCCAGCATATTTCATGTGTTGCACATGGGGAAAGTAAATGTTTTTATTTACATTAGCAATAAAATCTACTTCCTTTTTAAACGGTGGATTGTAGGGAGTGATGTCACAAGAGTTACAGTGAAACTGTTTCACAAGTAGGTTTACTGAATAACTGCACCGTTGAGGAATTGAAAAGTTTTAATCATACATGTGTTATTAAATTTTGTTATAAAGCTGGAAAATGTATAAATTTTAATTCAAAACATTTCTAAGTGTTTTTGGGAGAATATTTACTTGTTTAATGAAACAGAAAAATTCATTTGTGGAGTGACGTGGAATGTCCTTATTTCTAGTTTTGAATGCACCAAAAAACATTAAATGTTATATTTTTGACAGATAAAGTCTTGTGTTTACATTTTTTATGGCCAAATTGAAATCTTCAAACCTGCTTTCACTTCTTTCTGTATATTTTAATATTCTCAAGTCTTTTGCCTCTGCCGTCATAAACACTTTGCCTGAACTTCACTTGTTGCCCACTCACTTCACACAAAGACACAAGCATTAACTACACCCTCGAAGGCTGCAGCAAGCTGAAAATAAGAAAATCAATGTGAATGTCAAAGTGAAGGCTCCAGAAAGTGTTGTTAGATGGCCGAAAAGGAGATGATGCGTCTGGGTCGGTAGCCTCTGGCTCTTCGTTTCACAGGCATATTGATGGACGTGCTTGGAATAGGCACCGGCTAGCTGTGATGAATGTTAAATCATCTCTATGCTAAGAAGCAGCTTGAAATGTCCATTTTCTTGTCAGGAAGCTGCTTAGTGTGCAGCAAGTGCGCAAATATAGGTTTCCTGTGTTTTAGTGACGACTTATCTCCACAAATCTTTTTTTAAGTTGCTTGAAACTTTCAAATTCATGATGGGAAACTGGCATAAAGTACAAACCGGATTCCGAAAAAGTTGGGACACTAAACAAATTGTGAATAAAAACTGAATGCAATGATGTGGAGATGGCAAATGTCAATATTTCATTCATAATATAACATAGATGACAGATCAAAAGTTTGTGAGTAAATGTAACATTTTAAAGGAAAATATGTTGAATCAAACTTTCACAGTGTCAACAAATCCCAAAAAAGTTGGGACAAGTAGCAATAAGTGGCTGGAAAAAGGAAATTGAGCATATAACAAACAGCTGGAAGACCAATTAACACTAATTAGGTCAATTGACAACATGATTGGGTATAAAAAGAGCTTCTCAGAGTGTCAGTGTCTCTCAGAAGACAAGATGGTAAGAGGATCACCAATTCCACCATTGTTGTGCAGAAAGATAGTGCAGCAATACCAGAATGGTGTTACCCAGCGTGAAATAGCAAAGACTTTTAAGTTATCATCATCAACCGTGCATAACATCATCAAAAGATTCAGAGAATCTGTAACAATCGCTGTGCGTAAGGGTCAAGGCCGTAAAACTCTACTGGATGCTGGTGATCTCCGGGCCCTTAAACCTCACTGCACCTCAAACAGGAATGCCACTGTCAAGGAAATAACAGAATGGGCTCAGGAATACTTTCAGAAAGCATTGTCAGTGAACACAATCCACCGTGCCATCCGCCGTTGCCAGCTGAAACTCTACAGTGCAAAGAGGAAGCCATTTCTAAGCAAGCTCCACAAGCTCAGACGTTTGCACTGGGCCAGGGGTCATTTAAAATGGAGTGTGGCAAAATGGAAGACTGTTCTGTGGTCAGATGAGTCACGATTTGAAGTTCTTTATGGAACACTGGGACGCCATGTCATCCGGACCAGAGAGGACAAGGATAGCCCAAGTTGTTATCAACGCTCCGTTCAGAAGCCTGCATCACTGATGGTATGGGGTTGCATGAGCGCTTGTGGCATGGGCAGCTTGCATGTCTGGAAAGGCACCATTAATGCAGAGAACTATGTTCAGGTTCTAGAACAACATATGCTCCCATCTAGACGTCATCTCTTTCAGGGAAGACCCTGCATTTTTCAACACGATAATGCCAGACCACATTCTTGATTTGTCAAGAAATAAATGATTTGCCAGAAGCTTGGCCATGCACAAAAATAAAACTGGTTCAATTCTATTCAGTTTTTTTATAAAGCGCTAAGTCACAACATAGATTGTCTTGGCACTACAAAAATATTCACATAATAAAAAAAAGGCCAATTATTAAAAGTTCTCTATCTAATGAAGCTGCAGATTGTGTTGAATCTTCACTTCATCACAGTCTCCCATCCTGAGCAAGATGTTTCTAATTTTAGCGATATTACGCAGATGGAAGAAGGTGGTAACGTTCTGGTAACGTTTTTAATGTGGGGGGTCAAAATACATATCCTGATCAAAAATTCAATTTAATTCAATTTATTTCTATAGTGCCAAATCCCAACAGAAGTTGTCTCAGGGCACTGAACAAAAATATTCATATACTGTACATACAAAAGCCAATTAGTAAAAGTTCTCTATGCCTGCAGACTCGTTTTATAACACCAAGGTTTTTAACTTTAGAACTGGAGGCCAAACTAATGTCATCCAGGGAAATTGAAATACTGCTAAATTTATTCCTAGGATGCTCAGATCCAAAAACCACAACCTTTGTCTTGTCTAAAAGCAGAAAATTAAGGGTCGTCCAGGTTTTTATGTCTTTAAGACATGCTTGTAGTCTAAGTAACTGATTGGATTCATTGGGTTTAATGGACAAATATAATTGTGTGTCATCAGCATAACAATGAAAATTTATCTCATGCTGTATGCAGGACTAACTTTGGTGTAAAAAGAAAATTCATTATTTACATTTACAAACTGGAATCTATCAGATAGATATGATTTAAACCAATTTAGAGCCGTGTTGGTAATCCCAATATTATATTCAAGTCTCTGTAATAGTATATTATGATCAACTGCATCCAATGCAGCACTGAGGTCTAACAGGACCAGTATCTGAGACACAAGTCCATTGTCTGAGGTCATGAGAATATCATTAGTGACTTTTACTAGTGCTGTTTCTGTGCTATGATGAGCTCTAAACTGAAACTCCTTAAACACATTATTTCTGTTCAGATGTTCACAAAACTGACCTGCAACTATTTTCTCAAGAATTTTTTTACATGAATATTAGATTTACTTTAGAAACACAGATAATCTGTATGACAGAGTAATTGAGCTCTTTTTGAGAGAGAAAAAATGAGAAAGAAATTTGTGTACAAATCAAGACTTTTGGTGAGTAAAATGCTTTTTATTCACATTTTTTAAATATATTTTTGTAATTTTATTACATCCATATTGATGCTATCATTAAATATGTATGTGGCACAGCTGTGGCTGCAGTTAAAAGAAACTTGTTGAATTGTGGTTAGGTTTCTTACATTAGTAATAGCATTCATTCTCGCTACATGAGATACCTGTGATGCAGCGTCATTTTATTCTGCATATGTGCATATTACTGATGGTTTCTGTCATCGTGAGGTCATAATAATAGTATCAAGAGGTGGATAAATTCAGACAGGACACCACTGAAGGCCTCGGTGTAAAATGCACGGCCTGCCACTGCCTTAATGTGACTTCTGTTAAAGTCCATCAAGTGCTGTCTTTAATGTCTGTAATGGGTTAAAAAGACTAAAGCAGCCAACTAACAAGACAAGCAGACAATAAGTAAAACAGTCAGTGATCATGCTTCAGTTCTCAGATCATTACAGTGGACACAAAGAGCAGAAACCATCTCACACATGATGTTGGGGTTATGTGAGTTAGTGTTCAATGCATAAAAACACATTTTCAGACCACATTATTCCTCAGTGCAGTTATAAACTGAGTGGAAAATACTGTAATGTCCAGACTATAAGCTGCTACTTTTTTCACAGGCTTTAAACCCTGTGTCTTATACAATGCTGAGGCTAATTCATGGATTTCTTTTTTGATGAGCTTAACAAGCTTCATGCTACCAAAACATTTAGCCTCGTCATACCCGGGC